TTAACCCATTCTAAGGCCCAAGGAGTCCAAGAAGATTAGAGCACGTGGAGAATAATTACCGGGATAGCCACTCTCGAAGATCAAGACAATCTTTAATTGTTCTTATCCTTAGTTGTAGCTATCCTCCCCGAAGAACTAGTATCTTTACCCTTAAGTCACTACCTCAACTAAGGCTATGTGCCCATAAATTGTAAGTTCTCTCTATTGAGAGAGACATCTCTACATCTCTACACACCCCTCACATATCTATCTCTCTTAGTTACCATACCTCTTCTAAAGCTCACATTTGTTCTCTCTCTCTCACCTTACTTTATTAATGAAGGTTCTCCGGCCACCGTTACTGTTTTTTGGAGTGGAGTAGGTCCCCCTGACCGAACCACTATACATATGTGTGTTGACCCAATATTTACCTTTTTGCTATTGATTGCTTTATTAATTGTTTCATTAATTCTCCTGCATCATTCACTCGACTATTAATTGTACATAACTCTATTTTATGCATCATTAGTTTGTCTTCATCTATGGAAAACGACTTAGTTTTCTACTACCTTGCTATTCTCTTTTCAAATCCATGGCAATCATAACCATAACCAAGTCGATGAATCAACAACCGGAAACGTCTATAGGAAATGTCTATGCCTGCACCTGCAGAACCGTCCACTGCAGCAACTCCCGTGGTTGGGCAACAACTCTTGGAAATCATGCAGTTATTGGTAAACTAAAACTAGCAAATCATCCAGCTGATGCTCGCATCGGGACGCGTCGCCTCTCAACTTGTGGGAACAGTTCTCCTCCCATCGGAAAGGTGCCACAACATCCCCACTTTGGGCGCCAAGGCGCTCCTTACCTTGGCACTCATGCAGTGACAAGGCGCCCCTTGCCAGGGAGTCCCCTCATTGCGCTCAGACGCCTCACATGTTCCCCCTCTTCATGTACTTGCTCCACACATAGCCAACCATTCTGGGCAGGAGGAGGAGGGGGAGAACCAGTATGCGATCTTAAAAACTACTATAATGATCCAACATAGAATATCCCCAACCAATGAGATGAGAAGATTAAGGAGGTGCAAAACCAGCTTGGCGATGCCCTCAACGCCATCAAAGCATAAGCTCCAGAGACGGTGGATTACTTGGTAAGGCGTACTAACATTCTGTTTGTTGCGGGATGTTGTCAATTACCCTCTACTCTCAAAGTTCAAGATGTCTGTCATCGAAATCTTTGATGGCACCAAGGAACCCCTAGATCATCTCGACACATACAAGTCTCTCATACTGTTCTATAATGTGCCTGATGAGATCATGTGCAGAGTTTTTCCTACCACCCTGAAAGGATCCGCACACCAGTGGTTCACCAAGCTCAAGCCTTCTTCTATCCACTCCTTTGCGGAGTTAAGCAAGTATTTTGTCTCACACTTCATTGGGGACATCGACATCAGAAACCAATTACCTACTTGTTCACTATTAAGTAGGATTAGGATGAAAGTTTGGGGAGTTACCTTGCTCGTTTTAACGAGGAGGCACTCTAAATCGAAGAGCCAGACTACAAAGTGACCATGACCGCCTTTATTACATGTCTGCGCTCGTCAAGGTTTTTAATTTGTTTTGAAAAAACCACTAACAAGCATGCCCGAGCTATTATCTAGGGCACCAAAGTATATGAACGTCAAGGACGTCACTAAGGCTAGGTGAGGTGAGTCCTCCCGCGGGAGTGAGAAAAGAAAGGACACCCACCAAGACAAAAGAGAAGCGAAAGGTAAGAAAAATAAGATGGAAAGAGTGTCCTTCAAGGATTGTCTCAGTCCTGCACTCTTTAGAGAGCAGCAAGCCTTTACACCACTCAATGCATCGGTTAAGAATATCCTACTCCAAATCCAAGATGATCCTACGATACGTTGGCCAGGAAAAATAAAGTTCGCCCCAAATCGTAGAAACCCAAGTAAGTACTGTCATTTCCACTGCGACCATGGTCACAACACTGATGACTGCTTTGATTTCAAAAGGTTGATCAAGGAACTCATACAACGTGGACAGTTACGACAGTACGTTGTTGGCAGAGGACAATCCCCGCCGCCAAATAGGAACCAGGATGAAAGAGAGCTCCACCAACCCCTCAGAGAAATTCAAATGATCTTTGGAGGGTTTGGAGGAGAAGGTGACTCCAACTCAATCAAGAATACGCATGCTAGGTGTGTCAGATAGGTGGAGTCAAATGATCCTTTGAAAAGGACCTTGAGGGGATTCAACACTCCCATGATGACCCTTTAGTGTTAACCATGATGGTGGCCAACTATCACGTCAAGAGAATTCTAATAGACAGTAACAGCTCTGTCGACATCCTGTTCGCACTAGCCTATGACAGTTTTCATCTAGGCAGAGCAAGACTGTAACTTATTAGAACACCCCTCATCAGATTTTCAGGTGAGAGGGCTTATCCTTTGAGTTCCATCACCTTGCTAGTCACAGCAGGTACAACACCAAAAAGCTCCACCATCATGATAAACTTCATAGTGCTAGACTACCCCTTTGCCTATAACATCATATTTGGACGCCTTGTACTCAACACCTTAAGGGCAGTGTCATCCACCTATCCCTTTGTTCTTTNGGTACAACACCAAAAAGCTCCACCGTCATGATAAACTTCATAGTGCTAGACTGCCCCTTTGCCTACAACATCATATTTGGACGCCTTGTACTCAACACCTTAAGGGCAGTGTCATCCACCTATCCCTTTGTTCTTTGTTTTCCAACCCTCTGTGGGATCGGAGAAGTCAAAGGAGATCAAATTGCTGCCAGAGAATGCTACGTGGCCTCTATGAGGACTAAGAAACCCCAAGAGGCCCTCTGAGTGGAAGTACTGGACCATAAGGATGATAACACACTGAAAACGGGAGCGCCTTAGCCCACCTATGGGACACCAAACACCTGANAGAGATCAAATTGCCGCCAGAGAATGCTACGTGGCCTCTATGAGGACTAAGAAACCCCAAGAGGCCCTCTGAGTGGAAGTACTCGACCATAAGGATGATAACACACTGAAAACGGGAGCGCCTTAGCCCACCTATGGGACACCAAACACCTGAAGAACTATTATCAATAACGGTACAAGCCGGTGAATCTCATTTTATTTGTCCTGTATTGTTTCAGTTGATCTATTCTATTATTTATTATTTTATGAAATAAAACTCTGCGAAAATTATTGTGTCCAGAACTATCTTACTTTCATTTCATAAAGTTTGTTAACAACTTACAAATGTCAGAACATGACCTAACAACAAGGTAGACAAAATGATAAAAGTCGTTATACTCCTGACGATCAGTCACTACTCCTTGAGCCACTATCATTAAGGCTCTCCCNGATTATTGTGTCCAGAACTATCTTACTTTCATTTCATAAAGTTTGTTAACAACTTACAAATGTCAGAACATGACCTAAAAACAAGGTAGACAAAATGATAAAAGTTGTTATACTCCTGACGATCAGTCACTACTCCTTGAGCCACTATCATTAAGGCTCTCCCCGTCACCATCTATCCCTAGTGCCTCATATAGGGCAAAGCCAAATAAATCGATAGTAGAAAAAGCTGTCAAACTCTTCATAACCATCAGTAAAGGCACTTGCAATGGTTATCTCAGTAGCCTCCCTCTTCATCTCTATCTCAATAGAATGAGCCTCTGCCATGGCAGGCCTCTCTCGAGCTATACGTAGCTCTGACTCTGCACTCGTGCATACAGTCACCTTATTAGTTTCTAGCTTCGCGCTCTCTCATGAGTTACCAAAATGCTCGGTCTAATCCTACCTCTGCTCCCAAGTAGTCTATGTATCCAGTTTCATGCTCTCTCATGATTCGCCAAAAAACTCAGCCTAATCCTACCTCTACTCCCAAGCAGTTTATGTATCCAACTTCGCGCTCTCTCACGAGTTGCCAGGAAGCTTGGTCGAATCCTACCTCTACTCTTAAGCAGTCTCAATCTCCAACTTAGCGCCTCTCTCACGAGTTAACAAAGAGCTCAATCTCAAGAGGCGCGACTCTCTCATGAAAAACCCCTCCATCGTGGTATTGATAATGCCCTCTGGATCTCGAAATCCAACCTCTTTGATATCCCCAAAAGTCACAGATCTCCAAAGCCGCTCCTTACCCAAATTAACGTCGAAACATGGACATCGAGCCACTACTAGAAGTAGGGAAGCTATGTGGAGCTATAATCCCTATAGAAGACCGCACTAGAGTCTTAACTCCCACAATAGTACAAGGGCTAGCTCTGGTACAAACAGGAGTCAAAGTCTGGGAAGGAGTGAGGGCACCACTAAATCCTGCTCCCCGGAAGCAACCTAGCCATCAACCGTCAACTAAAAAGCACTAGGGCATCAAACCTCGCACTTTTGGGAGGACGAGAAGACGTCACCCTAAAAACATAGAGAGCCTCCACCATCGCTTTATCAATAGGGTGCATGTAATCAGAGACAAGGTCAAAATAAAGAACCAACATCGAGAAGATGTTAAGGAGAAAACAAGATTGGAGAAAGTGGGTTTGCCTCCTACCTAGCTAAAAGCCATCATAGTCTCCCTCTCTGACAAAATCGAGAATGCCGACCTACCGCCCATAGACACCTGACAGCTGTCTACCAAAACCCAACTTTTCACCACCATCGGTTTCACTAATTTGTGTTTAAAACTCAAATTTAGAGAGAAAAAAGCATTTTTGGGGAAATTTGGTGCCCAAACGGCCTTTGGCAATTTTAATGTCGTAGATCTTGAAAAAATACCCAGATTCAAAAAAAAATTCACCTTAAATGGACAACCGAGCACAAAGTTATGATTGTTCGAATTTTTATTATATTCACCCTCGTCGCCCGTGCCAGGCGAATGCCCAGCACCCTAGTGCCCAGTGCTTCAGGTGTTGCGTCTAGACCATTTATGCCAATATTGGCATCGCCTAGCTGCTCAATGGCGTGACCTAACTGTCAGTGACGCCGCCTAGCTACTCAGTGGTGTCGCCCAGCTAGCCCATTGGGTCGCCTCCTGTCATCCACCTTGCTGGCACCACAACAGTGTTGCCCATGTATCCTAGGCCTAGCCCAAGATCAGCACCCAGCATCTGGACCTCTCCTAGCGTGCCCAAGGCATCGCCCTCCTTCCCTCTAGCACCGCTACCCTCAAGGGTGTCGCCCTTCATCCTACTAGCGTCGTCTTCTACACGCGAGGCTTGCTTGCTGCCATTGCCACTGCCCGGGCCTACTCCAATCCCGATGAAATGTTCGCCACCTGAGGTCCTCACATCCGTGTCCATCCGGCTGACAACACTTGGCATGCTAAGGGAGCCGCCCAGGACAATGCAAACAAAGGCCTCCCAAACCAGCGTCATGGACGACTGCTAGTTCACGCAACGCCCCAAGCATTCCTTCCCCTTGGCTGGCATTGCCCAACTCTTGGCTGGTGGTGCCACCCAACATTCTAATCATGGCGTCTTCTCCAAGCTTGGCGTGGCCTACTTACACGCCTCTTCTCAGCCGTTGTCACCTTGGGCGTCGCCTTTGTAGGCGCCGCCATATGGGTAAGAGGGCATCGCCCTTGACTTCGCCAGACGTGGGTAGACGACCCTCTNAGGCGCCGCCATATGGGTAAGAGGGCATCGCCCTTGACTTCGCCAGACGTGGGTAGACGATCCTCTAACCTTGATCCCACTGCGCCAGCTTGCTTTATCGATGAAGCCTCCATCTCCATCTTCTTTTGTGAAGTTCCTTGCGATGGAAAATTGTTCAAGAGAAAGAGGTAAGGGAGAGAGATGGAAAAATAAGGAATTCTCTCAAGGGTTTATATAAACCCTACAAATATGCAGTACCCTAGAGAAAAAAGGGTTTTGACTAATGGAAAACTCAATGGAGGAGATTTTCTACTATTGCAATCAGTGCCCAACCATGAAGTTACTAAGTGAAGAAGAGAAGCTTCGTGATTGAAGGAATGAAGAAGCCACCGTGCAGAACAAGAAACCTCTTGCCTATTCGGAGCTCACTCATGCCCTTAACCCCCTCGCAAGCAATTGGGGCTTGGGGCATGGGGGCAAATGATGAGCCCAGATTCAACTGGGCTAGGCCCAATAAATTAAATGAGCCTAGATCAACTAAAATGATCCGTCAAACCCAACTCGTGGATTCAACCCATTCTAAAGCCCAAGGAGTCCAAGAAGATTAGAGCACGTGGGGAGTAATCATCGAGATAACCATTCTCAAAAAACAAGGTAATCTTTAATTGTACTTATCTTTACTTGTAGCTATCCTCCCCGAAGAACTAGTATTTTTACCCTAAAGTCACCACCTCAACTAAGGCTCTGTGCCTATAAATTGTAAGATCTCTCCATTGAGAGGGGCATCTCTACATCTCTCTACACACCCCTCACATAGCTATCTCTCTTAGCTACCATACCTCTCCCAGAGCTCACTTTTGCTCTCTTTCTCTCTCACCTTACTTTATTAATAAAGGTTCTCCGGCCACCGTTGCCGTTTCTCGGAGTAGAGTAGGTCATCCTGATCGAACCACTATACATTTATGTGTTGACCCAATATTTACTTTTTTACCGTTGATTGCTTTATTAATTGTTTCATTAATGCCCCTGTATCATTCACTCGACTGTTGATTGTGCATAAGTCTATTTTATGCATCATCATTTTGTATTCATCCGAACTACATAATTGAAGTAAAAATAATGTCGCATGCAAATAAATAAGTATTCAATATATATATATATAGAGAGAGAGGGAGAGGGAGAATGAGAAGATGACAAGTGTCACATTTGAATGAATACCATGGAGGCAAAAATTCGCACAATCACTAAAATGTGTTGAGATGCGTCCCTAGTTTTAAAATATCATGCAGTCCACGAGCTACAAAATCATAGAGAGGTTAGAGGGAACCCCAGCATTGAGCCGACGGAAGCTCCTCCTATGTCTAAGTCGGTATTACGATCAATACATGAACATGCTCGTGTGTAAAGTTAGAAATATGATCAAAGGTGTGTATGTNGGAAGCTCCTCCTATGTCTAAGTCGGTATTACGATCAATACATGAACATGCTCGTGTGTAAAGTTAGAAATATGATCAAAGGTGTGTATGTTTGGAGTATGGAACTGAAATGCTCATACTTAGCCCTCCATAATTTTGGGTCTTCACCCATATTTATTGAGAAGAATGGATAACTACTTACAAATTGTTCTTGTCTCTAACATGACTAATTATATAGCCTTTGACTAATAACTATCTTTTTAGTTTAAAGCTATGCCCCTAGAGCCTTGTGCCATCAATTGCAACCATTTTTGTCAAATGATGTGGTCCATCACTAGATGTCCCGTCAAATATATATACATAGGTAACAAAGCGGTGTCAGAACCTAGAAATTAAGTTTTATATGAGGATTATAGAAAGTGAGTTAGCCAAAATAAACGGTTTGCATCAATTTACTATTACTAGACATGTTTGATTAATATTATTATTTATAGTTTATTTTGATATCTATAGAGGTAACCGTTTAGTTGATATAAATATGNTTACTATTACTAGACATGTTTGATTAATATTATTATTTATAGTTTATTTTGATATCTATAGAGGTAACCGTTTAGTTGATATAAATATGACATTGTGGGATGATATTTACATGGCCCACACTAAGGGAAATTCAGGACGTGTCTAATACTTGATTATTCATACCCCCAACTGACCAAAAAAATTAGTGCATAACAGGTTGACATTGCAGTTAAGGGTAGTTTGCAGAGTTATAGTATCGAGAGAAACCCAAAACTATACCAGAAAATTTTAGATGGGATGGCAGTACAAAAGGTCCAATNGCATTGTGGGATGATATTTACATGACCCATACTAAGGGAAATTCAGGACGTGTCCAATACCTGATTATTCATACCCCCAACTGACCAAAAAAATTAGTGCATAACAGGTTGACATTGCAGTTAAGGATAGTTTGCAGAGTTATAGTATCGAGAGAAACCCAAAACTATACCAGAAAATTTTAGATGGGATGGCAGTACAAAAGGTCCAATAACCACATGCCAGAGTTAGTGTTGGGCAACCAGTTGGGATCCTTGACCCAAATAATAACGAATGGTTGGACCCAGAGTCCGATGAACCAAACTTGCCACTTGAAGTGAACCATTGTGCTCATTCTACTGGTTTAACGAATGTGCCTCCCAAGGGGGAGAGGGAGGCATGATATTGTGATACCCTAACTTCTCTGATAACATTACTATTTTAAAGAGTTTTGTCCGTAAAAAATACAACACCCGAGAATAGGGACGTTACAATTGTCATCCGGTCTATGCTTCTGGNGGACCTGTCAGCAGTAGTGGAGTGGTTGAGATTTGCCCATGAGTGGTCTCCTATGCAAAGAGACACATGGAATTTGTTTCAATTGTTGCTGTTTTGGNTAACATTACTATTTTAAAGAGTTTTGTCCGTAAAAAATACAACACCCGAGAATAGGGACGTTACAATTGTCATCCGGTCTATGCTTCTGGATTATGTAGGCTTGTGATTTTGGGTGGGCGAAGTGTGGTGTATGTTAATTTTTGAACATTTTATAGGAAAGTAAGTTTATTGCTGAGATTTGGCATTTCTGNAAACATTACTATTTTAAAGAGTTTTGTCCGTAAAAAATACAACACCCGAGAATAGGGATGTTACAATTGTCATCCGGTCTATGCTTCTGGATTATGTAGGCTTGTGATTTTGGGTGGGCGAAGTGTGGTGTATTTTAATTTTTGAACATTTTATAGGAAAGTAAGTTTATTGCTGAGATTTGGCATTTCTGCCATTAGAATAGATCTTGTTTCCAGATCAAGTGCCATAATGGATCGTATCCAATTGCATTCGATCTAGCATCTACTAAAGGAGAGGGGTGAGGCTTTGTCCATCCAACAAAAAATATACTTACCAACTTTGCCGGCCTTTGACTTATGATTTTGGCCGATGAATGAGTTTATTTGAAATTATTGGATGAAGTTAATGAAAGTTATTCTGATTTATGTTTTAGATATATATGGTGTATATAATTGAAGTGTTTAAATATAATTTATCCAAAAATTAGGGACAATGGTTAGGAGTGAGGACCAAACAACTACTGTTTATGATAAACTAAGCCCACGGTGCCATGCCTATAAAAATTGGTATGTCAATCTCATCTATCAATATAAATACGATTACAATGTTCTAAAATTAATATGGGTATGGACCAAACAGCTAATCATTTTTTAAGACTATTTCCAAAACTTTTTTAATATTAGGTCCATACCCGTATCAAATTACAAGATATTCAAATTTATATATAAATTTTTAATGATAAAATTTCACCACCGTTTTCAATAGTCCAGAATTTAATTAATCTATTCTCAAATTCAATAGAAAGTAGGCTATTCAGTCGAAATTTGAGAATTCACGATGTACCTGACTTAAAAAATTGCCCGAATTCGAACTCGCGATATTTGTGTTTACGGCTGACTTTCTTCGATCAGAAACAAATTTTTTACCATTTTTTCACTCATTTGGAGGATTTGGTTTCCATCCAAGATGGTCCAAACAGTGTTTGCTGATTAACTATTACATACATGGAGAGAGAGCAGACCACATAGATTGATCCTTCTTTTGAGGTGTCTGAAAGGAGGAACAAAAATCCAATAGACGACTACGACACCGAAAATGAGCACGCCGCCGGGTCTCAAGAAGCCTAAGATGGAGAGAGAAGAAGAATCCAACGGCGAAGCTGACAATGAGAACGGCGAAGAGAAGCTCATGTGGGAGGAGAGAGAAGAAGCACTTGTGGCTCTGATCGAGCATCGTACCAAAGAAGTCGAACATCTCCGCCAACGTTTGTCCTACTACAAATCTCAGGTTTTCACAATTTTTGCTCTAAGTTTATTATTTTTTTCTAATTTTTTTGTACTATTTTGGATTTTTCTGTGGTTAGCGGATTGCTTGGTGCAATGGAATAGGGATGTAAATGATCGGTTATACTCCATAAACAGAGATTATCTGTATTTTTAAAGTTTGGAGCTTGTGCATATATAAAAGTTGGTGATTTTAGGTTTAAACAAGCTCCGGTATATAATTGATGATTTTGGTATTTTTGGATGGATGAAATAGAACAGTGAGCAACCTCATTGTTGTGTACTTTATCAGCATTAAATTTTATGATTGTCATCAGTTATTGACTTGATTGTGGTGATTAATTGTAGAGACGTTTGTACTGCAAATTTGTGGAAAATGACTAGCTTTTCTTACTCTTTGAACATTGAAACCTAATTTGAATTTGTCAGCTGACAGAAATTTGCATTCAGATTTGTTTTAAATTGCTGAGTAGATGCAAGAGATTGTTGGCATTTCATGACATCCTTTAATATGAGAGATGGTGCATTTGAAGTAGGTAGACTGCTTTAGGCAAGTGTTATTAATGTTATAATGAAGTGGAATGTCACAATTGATCAAGTCGACAAATGGCAGCAGCTAACGATAAAACATTGTCTTTACGTACATTGACAGGTAAATGATTGTTGCCTGCCTGTTAGTTAGAAGAAATATATCTTGTAGCTGTCAGATCATTCAGTTATTAGTATTGCTCGAAGTTATGATCTCTTATTATGAGTAAGTTTTAAATTTCACTATAAGATGGATGCCGATACCATGAAAAAAATATTTGATATTGGGCTGCAGTTGCATAATCCTTCTGACCTGTCAGCAGTAGTGGAGTGGTTGAGATTTGCCCATGAGTGGTCTCCTATGCAAAGAGACACATGGAATTTGTTTCAATTGTTGCTGTTTTGGTATCATGGCCAGATGCGGATAAGATGTGTTAATAGAGAGCATAATGGAAATAATATCCTCTCTTTCTATAGATGATATGGCTTGGATTCTACAATCAATTCAGAGACTCTAGGACTATGCAAGGTTGCCATGAAGTTGAATAGAATGGAAGTCGAGGATGATTCCTCAGTTCTTATTGGGTGTCTGAAGGACAGGGGTGATGGTCCTTGGAACTTTGATTGTTTCATGAATTAGATCATGGTCTTGGCAAAAGACTTAAAATATTTATATGAACTGGATTCTGGGAATGTTTAATTCAGAGGCAGATTTTCTAGCAAAGCAAGCAGTTGTCGCCCTTTGTNTAAAGGAGAGGGGTGAGGCTTTGTCCATCCAACAAAAAATATACTTACCAACTTTGCCGGCCTTTGACTTATGATTTTGGCCGATGAATGAGTTTATTTGAAATTATTGGATGAAGTTAATGAAAGTTATTCTGATTTATGTTTTAGATATATATGGTGTATATAATTGAAGTGTTTAAATATAATTTATCCAAAAATTAGGGACAATGGTTAGGNAAAAGGAGAGGGGTGAGGCTTTGTCCATCCAACAAAAAATGTACTTACCAACTTTGCCGGCCTTTGACTTATGACTTTGGCCAATGAATGAGTTTATTTGAAATTATTGGATGAAGTTAATGAAAGTTATTCTGATTTATGTTTTAGATATATATGGTATATAATTGAAGTGTTTAAATATAATTTATCCAAAAATTAGGGACAATGGTTAGGNATGTTTATAAGATATCAATAGTGCCCTTGATGTTTTTGTGAGGATCTTTTGTTCATCTTTTTACTTTTTGTTTTTCTTTTAGCTCGAAAGGAAAGCTCATATTTACCTTTTTCCCTCTTCTAGCATATGGTCTTGTTATTTTTTTTTTTCTTTTTCTAACAGTATATATTGTATATCTGGAGAAGCATNGGAGTGAGGACCAAACAACTACTGTTTATGATAAACTAAGCCCACGGTGCCATGCCTATAAAAATTGGTATGTCAATCTCATCTATCAATATAAATACGATTACAATGTTCTAAAATTAATATGGGTATGGACCAAACAGCTAATCATTTTTTAAGACTATTTCTAAAACTTTTTTAATATTAGGTCCATACCCGTATCAAATTACAAGATATTCAAATTTATATATAAATTTTTAATGATAAAATTTCACCACCGTTTTCAATAGTCNCAAAACTTTTTTAATATTAGGTCCATACCCGTATCAAATTACAAGAGATTCAAATTTATATATAAATTTTTAATGATAAAATTTCACCACCGTTTTCAATAGTCCAGAATTTAATTAATCTATTCTCAAATTCCATAGAAAGTAGGCTATTCAGTCGAAATTTGAGAATTCACGATGTACCTGACTTAAAAAATTGCCCGAATTCGAACTCGCGATATTTGTGTTTACGGCTGACTTTCTTCGATGAGAAACAAATTTTTTACCATTTTTTCACTCATTTGGAGGATTTGGTTTCCATCCAAGATGGTCCAAACAGTGTTTGCTGATTAACTATTACATACATGGAGAGAGAGCAGACCACATAGATTGATCCTTCTTTTGAGGTGTCTGAAAGGAGGAACAAAAATCCAATAGACGACTACGACACCGAAAATGAGCACGCCGCCGGGTCTCAAGAAGCCTAAGATGGAGAGAGAAGAAGAATCCAACGGCGAAGCTGACAATGAGAACGGCGAAGAGAAGCTCATGTGGGAGGAGAGAGAAGAAGCACTTGTGGCTCTGATCGAGCATCGTACCAAAGAAGTCGAACATCTCCGCCAACGTTTGTCCTACTACAAATCTCAGGTTTTCACAATTTTTGCTCTAAGTTTATTATTTTTTTCTAATTTTTTTGTACTATTTTGGATTTTTCTGTGGTTAGCGGATTGCTTGGTGCAATGGAATAGGGATGTAAATGATCGGTTATACTCCATAAACAGAGATTATCTGTATTTTTAAAGTTTGGAGCTTGTGCATATATAAAAGTTGGTGATTTTAGGTTTAAACAAGCTCCGGTATATAATTGATGATTTTGGTATTTTTGGATGGATGAAATAGAACAGTGAGCAACCTCATTGTTGTGTACTTTATCAGCATTAAATTTTATGATTGTCATCAGTTGTTGACTTGATTGTGGTGATTAATTGTAGAGACGTTTGTACTGCAAATTTGTGGAAAATGACTAGCTTTTCTTACTCTTTGAACATTGAAACCTAATTTGAATTTGTCAGCTGACAGAAATTTGCATTCAGATTTGTTTTAAATTGCTGAGTAGATGCAAGAGATTGTTGGCATTTCANCCTAATTTGAATTTGTCAGCTGACAGAAATTTGCATTCAGATTTGTTTTAAATTGCTGAGTAGATGCAAGAGATTGTTGGCTTTTCATGACATCCTTTAATATGAGAGATGGTGCATTTGAAGTAGGTAGACTGCTTTAGGCAAGTGTTNAAGATTGTTGGCATTTCACGACGTCCTTTAATATGAGAGATGGTGCATTTGAAGTAGGTAGACTGCTTTAGGCAAGTGTTATTAATGTTATAATGAAGTGGAATGTCACAATTGATCAAGTCGACAAATGGCAGCAGCTAACGATAAAACATTGTCTTTACGTACATTGACAGGTAAATGATTGTTGCCTGCCTGTTAGTTAGAAGAAATATATCTTTTAGCTGTCAGATCATTCAGTTATTAGTATTGCTCGAAGTTATGATCTCTTATTATGAGTAAGTTTTAAATTTCACTATAAGATGGATGCCGATACCATGAAAAAAATATTTGATATTGGGCTGCAGTTGCATAATCCTTCTGACCCCTCAATATAATTAATGATATTCCCTGAGAAGGTCCCAAACATGATGCCCTTGGCTGGTTGTGCCAGCTATTAGCTCAAAGCTGCCACGAAGGGATGAATAATAAGGGGGAGAGCGGGTCCCCCCTCTCATATTGTTCGAGTTTTGGAAAATACTTTAGGAGCAATTTTTTGGAATTGGAAGCCGTGAGGAAAAAGTTCTTTGCAACTTTTCTTTGATTCTAGTTTAGTTAATGATAAGTTAAGAGGGTTATGCTTGTACACGATTTATTGGGACTGGCCTGGTTTGTTAATGTCAGCAGTAGTGGAGTGGTTGAGATTTGCCCACGAGTGGTCTCCTATGCAAAGAGACACATGGAATTTGTTTCAATTGTTGCTGTTTTGGTATCATGGCCAGATGCGGATAAGATGTGTTAATAGAGAGCATAATGGAAATAATATCCTCTCTTTCTATAGATGATATGGCTTGGATTCTACAATCAATTCAGAGACTTTAGGACTATGCAAGGTTGTCATGAAGTTGAATAGAATGGAAGTCGAGGATGATTCCTCAGTTCTTATTGGGTGTCTGAAGGACAGGGGTGATGGTCCTTAGAACTTTGATTGTTTCATGAATTAGATCATGGTCTTGGCAAAAGACTTAAAATATTTATATGAACTGGATTCTGGGAATGTTTAATTCAGAGGCAGATTTTCTAGCAAAGCAAGCAGTTGTCGCCCTTTGTGTTTATAAGATATCAATAGTGCCCTTGATGTTTTTGTGAGGATCTTTTGTTCATCTTTTTGCTTTTTGTTTTTCTTTTAGCTCGAAAGGAAAGCTCATATTTACCTTTTTCCCTCTTCTAGCATATGGTCTTGTTATTTTTTTTTTTCTTTTTCTAACAGTATATATTGTATATCTGGAGAAGCATAAACATGTGGCGTACAAATTTTTTCACGTCTACTATTTATATGTTGTTTAATTATGCTTGCTAACTGTTCTTTCGTTATCATCACTTAATTGAGGATGGTCGTGTTACCAGGATTTCATTCCGAGGGTGGCCAAACTATATAAATTGACAATCTCATAATACCTTTTTTTAAGATATATCTCATAATATCCAAAATTGAGTTCTTAGCTACTTACCGTATAAAAATTAGTTTGTGATAATTTCACCATCCATTTATACCTTTGTTTAAGATATGATATAATGATTTAATTATCATTAAAAAAATAGATTCACATGATACTGTAGTAACATTGAGTCGAAAATTATTGCATTGTTTTTTATATAAACCACATTTGTAGCGTAATTTTACTTTAATCTCACTTGTTTTTCTTCGGTCATCGGATTCATCCAAGTAAGTATTTTTGTTTGTAAGAGTAGTACCCACCTATGCTATTAAATTCCTTAGTTAATGTCAAACCATTTAGCTTTTTGCGTATTAAGTAAATTACTTATATATAGGATTTTTTAAACCTAAGGGGGCTGCATAGGGTTTTTTGAAAAACTATGGGGACTATAGCAATTTTAGAAAATGTGAGGGGGGCCATGGCCAATGCCTAGTTCCGTCACTGGTCGTGTTGGATAGTTATCAAATTAGCTTGTCAAATATCGATATATTAGTTGGTTAGTCATTATCATATATTTGTCATCAAAATATAGCTGATCAGCCCTGTGGATATGGAATGTAGCTTGATCAGGCAGAGAGAAGGTTAGAGGAGACACATGTTAAACTGGCCCGCCATCGAGGCCGAGACAAAGTGATGTCATCCAAAGGTTCTGTGGGAAATGGTATGAAAGAGGTGAATGCTGAACAAAGATCAACTAGTCCTACCCAGATCAGCGAAGGTCATTCTCAAAGACCGCCTCAATCTAGACCACAATTAGTCCAAGAAAATGTGAAGCCATCCAAAAACTCCCTGAAAGAGGGCGTGAAAGAGGTAAAACTTGAGCGGAGGTCAAGTAGTCCTATCCAGATCAGTGAAGATTCTTCTAAAAGCCATCCTCCATCTAAACCACGACTTGTAATACCTGCTGTGAATCCAAAAGTTTCCCCACCTACGAAGATGGCAGAATTTGGCTCTAAAATTAACACCGGATCTAGTTCTCGAACTTGTGCATCAGTTCCCACTCACACTGATAGTATTGTGAAACAAAAAGGGGACAAATTTCAGCAAATCTCTTCTGAGCAGGAAGCTGTTGAAACTCAAGCTAAAGGGACAAAAAGAAAGGCTGGTAATACTTTATTATTAGTTTATCTTTTGTGCACATAAAGCAAAATTTATCTTTGCAACTGGAATTTGCATTGCATTACCCCTCATATTTTTGCGTATTTTTATTGTTGAGTGAGATTTGTTGTTTGTCATAATTGCTTTCTGAATTACAGAGCAGAAAGAACACAAAGACATAATTCCTTTGATACATAGCAGCTCTTCACCCCGCCCAATCCGTTGCCAGACAGGCTGTCTCATATCCAGTCAACACAAGAGAAAGTTGAGAAGTCTTGTCCTGTGTCCGACAAACGACCAACTATTTGTGACCAGGTAGTTTGTTTTTTCTGAAATTTCAAATGAGCAAGTCATGGACAAGGGCATTTATGTATCCTCTAACTTTGTAAACCCCTTCCTCCGTTGGGAAAAAAAATTTCTGGGCAATTTGGTTAAAGCTGGACTGCTGTGGCTTGATTCAAGAGTTTCAATTTGTAGCTCAAACCTATGGGATTTCTAGGTTTTAACACTGAATAATTTCAGAGAAACATTGGAGATATAATTCTTTCTTCTGTGAAAAAGCATCATGTGTCCAAAACCTTCTTTCCAGCACATATTTTATTGTTTTATTTTATCAGATGAGAAAATATTCCTCATAACTCTTTGCGAATGTAACTTGCATTGGAATCTTTGCAGTTCTTTGGATGGAGTCGTCAACTTGTGGCAAGTTCAGGCCAGAGGGTATGTTTAATTTTTTTTTCTCAATCTACAAACTTCGTTCAAATGCCTCTTTATCCCGGGAATTGCCAGTGCGTTGCAAGAAAGAAGACTTGAATGCACCTTAGGCAGACTGGTGTTTTAGGAGGACCAAATGCTTTCTATTTAGCACAAAAGTAAACCAAAAAAATAATAATAATTACATACACACACATATACGTGAAACTTCCGAAAAGTGAGTTTGTATGACTTTGATCTCATAGTCTTGCTGCTTTTCCGTCCCAGATGTCTTCATGTCAAATCGTATTAAAAATTTTAAGTGAGACATGCTATAGCCCTTTTGGGACAAACTACAACATATGCCTTTTAAATATTCTCCAATGTATAACTTGGTGTTTTATCATATGCAATTGAGTCAATAACCCATGCTTTGTGACTTAAGTTTCTCATTCGGGGTGTTTTGCTTGTGATTGTGAAATTGCAGATCAAATGCCAGTCTTCTTAGTACCACTGATTGTGTATCTCTCAAGCACAGGCGATGGCCAGAAGACATAGCCTGGCATCCACAGGGAAATTACCTATATTCTGTTTACAGTGCTGATGGTGGGGATTCCCAGATATCAATCCTGAATCTGAATAAAACAAAAGAGGTATCAATATGGAAAGAAGTGGGAATTCATATAATTGTGGTACTTATAACATAAATATTAATAATGAGAGTTAAATACCAGGATTGTTTGGCACATTGTGGAAACTCCTAGCTGTGAATGGTGTGGGTAATTCAAAAGATTGGTGTTGCTCTCAATTGTAAGAAATCATTACATGGTAGTCAATAGCCATGTATTAGTTAACACATTTCTTGGCTGTTGTACAACAAACACATTGAGTACGTTTACTCTGACATCCTCTCAGAAAATAGTGGTTCTGATTTTTTATATTGATGCCTCAACAGGGAACCCGTGTAAGTTACATAGAGGAGAAGCCTCATGTTAAGGGCATTATCAACAACATAATGTTCATGCCATGGGACGATATCTGTTTTGTTACCGGTGGCAGTGATCATGCTGTAGTACTCTGGACTGAGAGAGATGGGGAGAACTCGTGGAAACCAAAAGCGCTGCACAGGAATATGCATTCCTCGGCTGTAATGGGAGTGGCTGGGATGCTGCAAAAACAAATTGTGATGTCTGTTGGTGCGGACAAGAGGATTATTGGGTATGATTTACTTGCTGGAAGAGCAGATTACAAGCATCAAATAGAAAGCAAATGTATGAGTATTCTACCTAATCCACGTGACTTCAATCTCTTCATGGTTCAGACTGGGTAAATTCACATTCAGAATCTCCGTATCACTTATGTGATTTTCAGTATTAAAGGTTTGCTTCAACATTTTCCCCCCTTTTTCAGTGGACGAGAGCGAAGATTGATTCTGCTACTAGAAAACCATGATCAGTTACTATGTTTGCCTATATCTTTGCATAAGAAATAATTAAGAGAGAGAATGCAATAAAAAAAATGAGTGAAATAGACCTAGGGTAAAGACAACATTCAGTCCAATTCCAATATTCCAATTATTATTCTTTAATTCCCAGTTGATAATTAAAATAGACCTAGTAGTTATGGGTTCCTTGCAAAAGGATCAAAACTCCAAATAATTAAATCCTGAATAGCAAATTGCACAAAATCAGTCCTTACATCCAACTAAGATCTTATGCTCGAGTCTGAGGTAGCAGGTAGGTATGAATCCTCCCCTTTTCAGTTTTTTCGTAATCCCTTTCAACTCCCCTCAGCAGAAGACAGACACTCGGAGAGTTGCAGATGAGGTACCACTACAAAAGGTGAGTATTAAGACAGTGAAAATTGTGTGAAATCCTGAACTCTACATTCCTTAAATAGGGCCTCTTGCTCATGATGAACCAAGGGTGGTACTGCAGTGGGTATTAGTTCTGAATGGGGCCTAAATTAACCATATGAGCAGTCATATACTCATATGACTGGTGGCAAGTGGTCTCCCACAATGGTTGGAAACACTAGACTAGCCTATTTTCCTCACTGCTTTCCTAAATACTGTCTGTGTTTAAATTGTTACTCAAGTTTTTTGGACAATTTGCTGGCAATTAGCATTGCTACCTCATCACGGAATTTAACCCGTTCTTTATGGAGTTCAACTTTAAATTCTCTATGGAGTTGGTCTACAGAATGTTTAAGGTTTGCTCATCTCATTTAATTCTCTAAAACATGAATGGTCATGATTTTGGGATGAAAGCATTGCAACAAAGTAATTAGAATTTGTACATGCACGATAGCACCAGTGAGATTCAAAGTTCGCTGGTTGCAGAATACACTGATACCCTTATAAATAGAGTAATAGTCTAAGATCCCAATCGAAGAATCTGTACCTTACGAAGTTGGTGATGAATGTTTATACTCTACAATTTTGCTTCAAGGACCAATTGGTCACCATGAATGCAGGCTTGCTGGAAGGATGCTTCAGATTCTGTATTTTATTCTTCAGTCAGGCCATGTTTTCGGTTTCTGGCCTGGGCAGTGAGCCAGATCTGATTTTGGCCCTGTTAAAGGTTCCTCAGTCTAGACCTGTATAGGGGAATATACTTCTAGGAATGTGATCTGGTGGCTGTTCTTTTCATTAATAGAACCAGAATCCTAAGTAAATTCGTTTACACTACACCTTCCTTTGTATATTTACTCATTTTGCTGCTCTAATATTCAGGTAATGTATTCTTTGCAGGACTCTAGAGAGACAGCTTCGATTATTTGATATCAGGGTTAGGCAGACAGAAGTCCATGCATTTGGTTGGAAGCAAGAAAGTAGTGATTCACAGTCAGCTTTGATAAACCAGGCTTGGTCTCCTGATGGTTTATACATAACATCTGGTTCAGTAGACCCTGTGATCCACATCTTCGATATCAGGTATAATGCTCACAAACCTTCCCAGTCAATAAAAGCGCATCAGAAACGTGTCTTTAAAGCTGTGTGGCACTATGCTCTCCCGCTCATGATCTCCATATCCTCTGACTTGAACATTGGATTGCACAAGATCATTTAAAATTCTGATTGAAGCTGTACCCATGTCCTGCTTTTTCGGTCCACATTTTTCCAATGTTTGGGAAATTTTGTATCCTTCCTTGATGAGGAGCAACTGCCTGTTAGGCAGCCTTTAGCTTGAACATTGTATTATGCAGAGGGAATCAAAGATAAGTTGCTAAGTTGATTGCTTTTAGCCATGGGCCTTGTTGTATATGCCAGTTGGGGCATAGTTGTTGATATTAGTTAGTGCATTCGTGTGTTGTACGTGAACCATTTTCATATTAAAATTTATAACTTAATAAAGATTGTTTGTTCTTTGCATCACAAATATTTAGCCTCTAACAAAACTCGAACTAAAGATCAAATCCATAATTATAAAAGGTTTAAAGACTTTAAACCAATTTTTGACACACACATAAGCATCACAAATTTGGGTATATCTTATTGAGTACTTTAATATTTAAGTCATTTTCTATATAACAACAATGATTAGGCGGATAAGGATGATATATAAATTTGCACACAACCATAAGTACACATATACACAAATAACTTATTTCGATATATGTCTGTACATATTAAACAAACATATATTTAACTACAGAAGTGTCAAATACAACAACACAGATTGTCGTAATGATATTTTTTTTTATCAATTCCCTTTCTTTTCATAGTTATATTAATTCTTAACAACCAAACAATGTGGAATCATATTTCACATGATATCTAAAGTTCACATCAATTTTATAGAACCTATATTTTTCTCAAGTTGTTGCCGACAAATCTACTAAAAGCAATCAAAATTAATTAGATTAATAAAAATAACCAATCACAAAATCATAGAGTTATAAATCACAAGAATGCAAATAGAAACCCATGATCACAAAGGTAATATGAACATGTTATTTCGTTAATGATGAATAAAACAATGCACTTTTTGAAGAAATATGTGTACTCCTTATAAGAACATAAAATTCAGACCCTACAATCATAAAACATAGAAACAAAAAAGTAAAATTTAATGACCACAAGAAAGAAGCCCATAAACCTAGGGTTTGAGCAAGTATAAGAATATGAGAAATTAGATATTAATAGAGAGAAAACTATTAATACAGAACTGGTAAATTAATAACAATGAATTTTATATAACCAAAATTCATAATATTAGTGTTTGTCATTACATGAAAAAGATACTATAGATATTACTCAAGTTATTAAGGTTATTTTAGTCAAACAAATTTTTTTCATTTTTGATGACATTTAATAGCAGTATTATAGTAGTATAGATATAGATGATCCGGATAAAATTTAGCAGTTTGAAGGCTGACNTCTAATATTCAGGTAATGTATTCTTTGCAGGACTCTAGAGAGACAGCTTCGATTATTTGATATCAGGGTTAGGCAGACAGAAGTCCATGCATTTGGTTGGAAGCAAGAAAGTAGTGATTCACAGTCAGCTTTGATAAACCAGGCTTGGTCTCCTGATGGTTTATACATAACATCTGGTTCAGTAGACCCTGTGATCCACATCTTCGATATCAGGTATAATGCTCACAAACCTTCCCAGTCAATAAAAGCGCATCAGAAACGTGTCTTTAAAGCTGTGTGGCACTATGCTCTCCCGCTCATGATCTCCATATCCTCTGACTTGAACATTGGATTGCACAAGATCATTTAAAATTCTGATTGAAGCTGTACCCATGTCCTGCTTTTTCGGTCCACATTTTTCCAATGTTTGGGAAATTTTGTATCCTTCCTTGATGAGGAGCAACTGCCTGTTAGGCAGCCTTTAGCTTGAACATTGTATTATGCAGAGGCAATCAAAGATAAGTTGCTAAGTTGATTGCTTTTAGCCAAGGGCCTTGTTGTATATGCCAGTTGGGGCATAGTTGTTGATATTAGTTAGTGCATTCGTGTGTTGTACGTGAACCATTTTTATATTAAAATTTATAACTTAATAAAGATTGTTTGTTCTTTGCATCACAAATATTTAGCCTCTAACAAAACTCGAACTAAATATCAAATCCATAATTATAAAAGGTTTAAAGACTTTAAACCAATTTTTGACACACACATAAGCATCACAAATTTGGGTATATCTTATTGAGTACTTTAATATTTAAGTCATTTTCTATATAACAACAATGATTAGGCGGATAAGGATGATATATAAATTTGCACACAACCATAAGTACACATATACACAAATAACTTATTTCGATATATGTCTGTACATATTAAACAAACATATATTTAACTACAGAAGTGTCAAATACAACAACACAGATTGTCGTAATGATATTTTTTTTTTTATCAATTCCCTTTCTTTTCATAGTTATATTAATTCTTAACAACCAAACAATGTGGAATCATATTTCACATGATATCTAAAGTTCACATCAATTTTATAGAACCTATATTTTTCTCAAGTTGTTGCCGACAAATCTACTAAAAGCAATCAAAATTAATTAGATTAATAAAAATAACCAATCACAAAATCATAGAGTTATAAATCACAAGAATGCAAATAGAAACCCATGATCACAAAGGTAATATGAACATGTTATTTCGTTAATGATGAATAAAACAATGCACTTTTTGAAGAAATATGTGTACTCCTTATAAGAACATAAAATTCAGACCCTACAATCATAAAACATAGAAACAAAAAAGTAAAATTTAATGACCACAAGAAAGAAGCCCATAAACCTAGGGTTTGAGCAAGTATAAGAATATGAGAAATTAGATATTAATAGAGAGAAAACTATTAATACAGAACTGGTAAATTAATAACAATGAATTTTATATAACCAAAATTCATAATATTAGTGTTTGTCATTACATGAAAAAGATACTATAGATATTACTCAAGTTATTAAGGTTATTTTAGTCAAACAAATTTTTTTCATTTTTGATGACATTTAATAGCAGTATTATAGTAGTATAGATATAGATGATCCGGATAAAATTTAGCAGTTTGAAGGCTGACTGTGGTATGACACAAATTCATTGTAGAGTAATCTATACTGCAATTGGATTTTGGTGTTGAACACTCCAAGTTAAACTGCATGAAAATTAGGGTGTGGAAGTCATNCTGTGGTATGACACAAATTCATTGTAGAGTAATCTATACTGCAATTGTATTTTGGTGTTGAACACTCCAAGTTAAACTGCATGAAAATTAGGGTGTGGAAGTCATCCATGGGTGAGAATAGTTCCTGTTTTATAAATTGCACATTAGGTACTGAAAATTATGTCTAGTATTTCCCTTGATCTTCATATTAAATGCTTAATTATGGGCTTGGCTCTTGGCTCTTGGCTCTTGGCTCTTAGCCAATGATCAAATTTTGTTTAAATGGCATAAATGTTTCCGTGTCTAAAGAGAATGAAACGAATCGGTGATTAAATCCAAATTTTAATAATTTGAGGTGTTTTAGAAGTTTTGAGATATTTTGATTTGGTGTCACTAATATTTCGAAATACTTTGAAGTATTTAAAGATGTTTATGCATATTTCGTCTATTGTTTCGAAATATTCTGGACAACCATAATTTTAAATTTGCTCCACAAAGATTTCTATCTCGACAACTCGAACTAATTCTTCTGAATGGCTTCGCCTACACCTTTAGAATCTCCTTCCAAAATGACTTTCATAAATCCAGGTCCTTAGGCCAAACGCACATCAGAATAAGCAGCAAGAGCTTCCACAATATCTACACTTAACATCCCAACAGTTTTTTGGCTATAGAATTGCACCAATTTTGTACTTGTAGATATATAAATTCAAGCTTTTCTTACCAATATTATTCGAAATCCGGTGTGGTTAGGGAGTTGACTATGGTACTAGAAAAAAATAATCGGTACCATATTTTTATTTATCATATTTATGGTTATTTTTACTATATTTGTAGGTAATTTTTATACTATTGTTGTACCCAAAAAAAAAGGGTAAAAATAGTTACAACAGTGATAAAAATATCCACAAGTATGATAAAAACATCCATAAACTTGATAAATCACTCACAAAAATAACAATTTTTTTGTACAAAAAAAAAATGATAAAAATAGTCGTCACAAATGTGGTAATAAATATCAACAACAGTGGTAAAAATACTTACAAAAATAATAAATCAATTATAAAAGTGATAAATTTTTTAGTTATAAAATGACTCACAAAAATTGTAAAAATACTTATTAAAATAGTAAATTTTGAAGTTAGGGTACCAAAATTTTTTTGGCACTACCGTGGTGAAGTCTGTGCGGTTAGTAGGTAATAAGAGTTTCACTTTTTTCCATAAACGTGGAGTGGACTCTAATAAGACTGGAGAGTTATTTGTGGAGGTCCGGGTGGATGTTAGAATTGAACTCAAACTCTCTAATTGTTATAAAGAATAAGAGTTTATTGAGTAATCAACGTGAGAATCTTATATGGAATAGGATTATATTAGAAGAGTTTTAATATAGCATGAATAGGTATATTAGACATGTGATATGAAATATAAAGATTAAGTTGTATCTAAATAAGTTTGGGTTATAATATTTTATCCCTATAAATAAAATTGAATATTATGTAATCAGTTATTAGATGTTCAATTTTTCAATGAAAAATACATCAATATAAGTTTTTGGTCCATGGATGTAGATACGGTGTACTAAGATGGGTATGCTGTGTCAAACCACGTTATATTTTTGTATCATACTTTTATTGTTTTCCTATGTTTGAATTCCTATCTTTCAACAAGTATTTTTTTTTTATATTCCAACAAGTATTATTTGTGTTAATTATTTGCTATACAAAACCAATAAGTGGTATTCGAGCTATGCTCCAACAAGAACATGAATGAGTTCGTTCAATGTCCGATTGGAAAATTTGACGGGAGATTAAATTTTTAACATTGAAAAACACAGATATAATTATTTTTAACATCATAGATTTTTTAGATATTATGAAAAACGGGTTCATAGATCTTGGAGATCTACCAACTCACACAAAAGCCCAAAAGGATGAATTGGTAGATCAATCAGAACTAGATTAATGATCATAAGAGAATAATCAGAGCAACCTGTTGGCAATTTAATGATCAAGTTGGATTTCATATTGAAAAAGATTCCCTTGTCACGTGTATACAATTCATATTTTTGTTTAAATGCACAGGAAAAAAATTAAAGTTAGTATAAAATCAAACAGAAGACTAAGTTGTTTCATGATTGTTTGAATTTCAAAAATTATCATACGTGCTATGTTGAAGATGTTTCTTTAGGTTTTTGAGCTTTTAGAGTTGAAGTCACGGTATTCTAATAGTTTGGGAGCTATTAGGCTGACATAAATATAATAGTGATAATGTGGTGTCTCGTGAATTATGAGTCACTGAGTTTTACCTTTAAATAGTGAAGCATTGATTATTAAGACCTCCAAAGGATAGGAAAGACATGGGCAGGGATGCACAGATGATGCAGGCTAAGACGCAGATTCTTAAAAGACATAGAAGATTGGTAAGACACGGGTAGAGATGCATAGATGATGCAGACCAAGATGCAAATTCTTAAAAGATAAAAATGATTGTTGCGACTCAAAAGAGCAGGTTTGTACGTGGTGGCTAGAAAAATTGGTGGATTAAAATCAAGGGTGCTAAACTCGATCTTGGGCATAACCAAATTTGAAAAGTTTGGTTCAAGGGAGACTGTTGGAATTTGACCTAAACTCTCTAATTGTTATGAATGAGAGTTTGTTGCGTAATCAATGTAAGAATCTTATATGAAATAGTATTATATTGGAAGAGTTTTAATATACCATAAATAAGTATATTAGAAATATGATAGGAAATATAAAAATTAAGCTGTATCTGAATAGGTTTGGATTATAGTATTTTATCCCTATAAATAGGGTTGAATATTATGTAATCAGTTACTAGATGATTAATATTTTAATGAATAATACATCGATGTACGGTCTACCAAGGTGGGTATGCTATATCAAACCACATTATATCTTTTGTGTCATATCTATATTGTTTTCCTATCTTTAATTCCTATATTCCAATAAGTATTATTTGTATTAATTATTCACTTTGCAAAACCAACAGTGGGCAAAAAAAAAAAAAAGGAAATTTTATGTTGCATTTGGTAATGTGTTGTTTTTTTCCATTTTTGTTTTCAATTTTTATCAAAATAAAAAATAAAAACATGTTTATGATGTGTTTCTGTTTTTTTAGCAACTTTATTTTAAAAACAAGGTCAACAAATGAAAACACCAAAAAGACGTTTTCAAAAATAGAGAAAAATGAAAACACGCGCGCTGGAGAGTAGGATGTTAATGAGGTTCATCCATCGAACCCCATTAGCAATAAAAATCTTCTTTTTTTTTGTGGAAGTATTTAAATTCCATATTTTTCAATTGTCTTCTCTCTCTGCAAACCAATGCTCATCTCTCCCCCCCTTTTCTCTCTCAATTGGAAAATGATCGAGGATGCTCAAATTTGCTCATTTTGTGGTCAGTTTGGTGGAGAATTTTCGATGGTTAGGTGGTCAGTTTGGAGGTGGATTTTCAGAGAGTGGGTAATGGGTTTTTCAAGGGTGGTGGTTTTCCAGGGGTGGGGTTGTGGGTTTTCAGGGAAGTTTGGTGGTTGTTTTCGAGGGTTATGGGTAGTGGGTTATGCATGGTTAGGTGATGGTTTTTTTT